CCTTTAATGGGCACAGTGCACCCAACTGATAGCTTCCTGTTGTATCCTATTAGCTTCTGCAAGAGTGAACAGAAATCTGTACCTGGCTTTCTGAAAAAGAATTACCAGCCCCTGCTGAACCCTTTGCACAAGTAGCTCCACGTGCATGTTACAAAAATTCTTGGTGAGAGCGAAGTAGAACAGGGAGTCTCAACAGTAAATCTGTCTATAGTCTTTCATAGAGAAGAACATTTGCCAGCAGAGAAAGACAGCTAGGACAGAAACCATCTTCTGCTTAAGGGGTGCCCAGTTCAATTCCACTTAAAGAACCCAAGACATGTTGCCCACCCCAGGAAGTCTCCAGACAGCTGGCTGAACAGGGAGTTCCAAAAAGCACTTGGTTACACTGTTCCACAGTATGGCGAAATATACTGCATTTCTCCTTCGTCTGGTTTTATGTACATTGCATTGTTTGTATATTAACCTATGCCTCTGTTTTGGAAATCAATGTTCCTGTTTTGTCCTCATCCCCCCCTACTTTTGGTGACTATTTCATCCTTTTTCATAAGTCGTCATTCCACAGTCTGCAGACAGGAGGAACAGCGGTGGTGGCACAAGGTTTTGGTCCCTGTATTTGTGTCTTTCACCAGATTCCTAATGAGAAACAAGTTACAGTGGTACCTCGGCTCACGAACACCTCAGTTCACAACCAAATCGGGTCACGAACAGAAATTTAGGGGGAAAATTGCCTCAGGTTGCAAACTCCACATCAGGTGACAACCAGGGTCACACCCATCTTCCCTGCACGAGCACAATCGCAATCATGGCCATCTCCCCCACACCCTCTGAGCAAGATCGCAATCGCACGATTATCATTTGAACTCTCCCTCCAAACAATAACCTCCCCCACACCTAGGTTAGTGTTCTCTACTGTACTGTACTTTGTTACTTTGTTGTTCTTTTTTACTTTGTTTCAAATTTTTGTGATTAAAAAAAATTTACAGAATGGATTAACCTTATTTACATTGAACCTTATGGGGAAATTTGACTTAGCTCGCAACCAAATCGGGTTGCAACCAGAGTTGTGGAACAGATTAAGTTCGTGAGCCAAGGTACCACTGTATTGTTCAGCATAAATCTTTAGTTTTTCAGATACGTACAATCTGGTCATTTTTAAAAAATTAACATTTTATTATGAGTTCCAAATTTCCAGTCATCTTAAGGAAGATTCATGTTTACATCCAGAACCAAAATATAATTATTCGGATGTTAGGCCATTTAGCTGGCCATTTATGCATCACCAAAAAAGGAGGTCTGTGCTAAATTGTACAGATATATGCACATTTAGAAAGAATTGCTGTGTTTTAAATAGAAATGCAATGCATTTCGACACACCAGGAGGGACAAGGTGAGCTGCATGGCTACCTGCCAGCCTGATTTCCAGGTGCTAACGTCACATCCCAGGCCTGGTTCTCTTCCCAGGGTCTTAATCTGCAAATTGAAATTGGACTGGACAGCTGTTCAGACAGAGGATAAGTTCAGAATAAAGCACTGTCCTCAGACAGTCATTCAAATAGAGAACTGTAAAACAGGACACATGGCTATTTAAAACCTTTAAAACTGTGTCAGTCCGGCTCTCGGCTGGACAGTTTTGTTTGCTTTTTTTTTTACTGTATTTCAAGCACTCACTTTTTTCCACTTCCCAGAAAGATTCAAGCATCTCCTTTTTACACCCACTGAAAAGTTGAAACCTGGTTTCCCTTCCATACCCATACCATGTCTCATAAGTCATTAAAGAAAGGTTTCTATTTTAATTCTGAAATTGCATTTTCTACCTTATTTAACATAATGAAGAAGAGACTTACAAAGACTTACTTGCTGACTGTTTTGTAAATTTCTAGTCGGTCCTTAATAAAGGCATTATTAAGAAAGTTATTTGCTTTTTTAAAAGAAATTCTAGTGGAACAAAGAAGCTACACCTATAAACAGACCAATTCACTTTCAAGTATTATTGCAAAATTATTCTCTCCCCAAAGTAATTTTCTCTTGCAAATTCACACTCTCTGGATGAAATAGTTAGGTGGCTACAGTATTCTTAATCCATAGCAGAATATCTGCTTTATTTCACAGAATCATGCAGCTGGAAGGAAGGGGCCTAGCAGGCCATGATGTCCAACTGCCTGCTCAATGTAGGACTCAAGTCACCCATCCAGATTTCAACCCAGTCTGACTCTGCTAAGCTTCCAAGATTAGGCAGGTTCAGGCACTTCAGACTATATGAGTGCTAGCGTGTGAGATTTTATTTTATTTTATTTTAGCTTCTGCTACAGTTATTGGCAGTGTGCATAAAAATCTGTTGGACTGTGAAATTTACTGAAAAGTAGGTGTAGTTCATATCCTTTTCCAAAGGGACACCAACAGTACAACTATAACTGTCTACACTAAAGTAATTCCCTCTGATGTAAATGGAGCTTACTCTGTAGCATGTGAGTATAGGTTTGCTGCCTTAGCAATTTCTTTTTCCAGATGCAACATGTCACAAAGAAAATTATCAGAAATAATGTGTCCGAAACAGACATTTAGCCACTTCTTACAGCTCCTTGGGCTGTAATAGCACATATTTTCAAACAGAATAGAATGAGGAAAAAAATGTGATTAGCTGTTTTGAATCTGTGTCTAATTAATATTGTCCAAAGTTGCATAGAAAATATATTGTGCAAATAAAAGGATCTACCAGGCAAAGTTTTATCATACAATGTGTTTCCTTTTTATGAGAGTCCCAATGTTTTTTCTCACTTGTAAGCCTCTTGTATTTTCCCACTGCTTCTTCCATCATTCCAAAAATCCATTAAAGGATCAAAGATGGGGCAAACAAAATGCTTCCAGACAGAGGGCTTCCAACACTATCTGTAGGCTTTGTGCAGTTCTGTCTTTCTTGCCTTCATGGCTATTTGAAGGTAGGAAAACCAGTGGGAAATGAGAGGATTTCAAGTGGGAGATGACTCACACACACACACACCTGAATGAATCAGTGCAATTCAAAGCCCAGAAGCACCCAAAGAGCTTTGGAAAATGGCAATAAAATGTTCAGGATCATGTAAGCAAATCTGAAAGCAAAGAGGCAATTAGCACATGAAAGTACAAGGCACTAAGTGTTCCAATAGAAGAAACAAATAGTAAGAGAAAGCGCAATTTAAAAGAATACTAGCTGCACTGCGGGTTTTAGTGGTTGAAAGTGGTTGAAAGCTAATACGCGTATAATTCAAAGTAGCATGGGTCAGACCATTTATCTCACTGTTGCATTACCTTATCTGTGATTTCAGTTTTGCCTGATTCAAGTTAAGAAAGATGAATCAGGAGGCAAGTCTTCCCTGCGGGGATGGAAGAATGGTTTCCAGACTCTCAGGACCCCTTTCTTTTAATTTAACCTAAAAGGAAAGGCTTTGCCTATCTGAAGCAATCATGCACATGTAACCCACCACTCCAGCCTGGCATTATGGAACCTGCATGGAATAAGGTATTGAGCTGCATTGTCTCTAGGATCCCTTCCACTTTAAAATTCTATTTTTCTAAATGTGGGAATGTTGTCTCCAACCCCATCCTCATGCACCAAAACTGAAATGGACTGGCATTCTGGATTCCAGGCATTGCTTAGTAATCTTTGCACCAGGAGAGGGAGAGGGAGAGGGAGAGAGACCGACTTCTATGTCAGTTGAAATATTAATATTTCAATGGGTAGAAGATGGTGAACAAAAACAAGCAGGAGCTGGAGATGTTTTGGATCACCTGGTTGCCTTTCCCATGCAATGAGTGTGCAGCTGTTACCCCTTTCAGCTTTTTTTTTTTTTTTTTTTTTGGCATACCATTTAAGTATCTTCTCACCAGGAGATGTGTCTAATGCAGAGAGATCTTTGACTTCCACAAGTCGAATTGCTGTAATTAGTCTCTTGAAAAATGAGAGCTGTCCCCCAGCTAATATATCCGTTGCTAACATTGTGAAAAATTTGGTTATGTAAATACTAGTAACTATCAGATAGTACCCATAGCATCTGTGGCAAGTAGATAAGCTTCATCCCCTGAGGGACGCACCATATTGTCATCTTTCAAAACTGCTTGGTGAATGTGTGCACATGTTTAATTCAGGAGATACCTGACTCAGATTTAGTGGGACTGATAGGAGCTTTGGAAGAAAGCAATTTTCATCAGGAAAATGTTACAGGGGATCAAACAGCCCAAACAGGGACAGCCCTTGTTACATTTCAGTCAGATTTTTTTAAAAGAAAAGAAAAAAAGGAGATCAGATCATGTATGTGGAACTGACTGCCTTGGGAAGTGGTGGATTTTCCTTCGCTGGAGGTATTTATGCAAAGGCTGAACAACCATCTGTCAGGGATCCTGCAGCTACATCCTGAATGCAAACCCTGCATTGAGCAGGGCTATATTTAGACTAGTTGATCTCCAAAGTCTTTGACAAAGCTTTCATTCTGTAATTCATCTCTGTTTGGCTCCCAATGGCACTGGATGTTCCTGAATTCTACTGTTTTGAAAATTTCTCTGTACTCCATAGTTTTCAGACAGCCTTCCCAGAAATATCCATTCAGTTGTGACTGTTTGTCCAATACTTTCTGCAGTGAAGACACAAGGGTGTCTTCTACATGAGGCAATTAATCATTGTGCAGTTGTGTCTATATGAGACAATTCATTGTGTGCTTGTGATCCTTCACTCATAGAAGTTTGTGGAAGCTTTTTATGACATTGCCGTTCTCCCAGGCCCTCCCATATTTTGCAAAGAATTCAAAACAAATAAATATTTACTTGTATATACCAAAGCCAACTGTTCTATTTAAATGAGGATTGTGAATCTTGTGGTGCCCTCTGGGAAGTGTGAGAAAAGGATTCATTAACTAAAAGCTTTGAAAACAAAAGCATTGAGAACCTTTAGAAACTGTGGCATATTTCCTTGCTTCCCAGTGAGTTTTCATTCCTTCCTGGAGGTGGAGGAGGAGGAAAGGCAGACCAAAATGAGACCACATTTGTCAGTGTCAGATGTATTTGTTCTGCTCCTTTCTCTCAACACCTGGCTTGTGAATGGTGAGTACTAAAACATTTGTACCTGCTTTGGAAATGAAAACCTTGAAAACATTTTGTTTACATTTCAAACCCAATGCTGGAAGGTTTTTACATGCCATGAATTGTTTGCCCCGTTTATACTCTTCCCCTAACCCGTTTATACTCTTCCCTTCTTCCAAGGTGTTTGGGTTTGCCATTTCCTCAAAACTCCTAGTCATCTGCTTGCTGCTCTGTTCTTCTGCTCATTTCCCCCAGATTCCCATATCCTGGAGAATCCCAGGTTCCCCATCCATATTTGGAAGGCAGCAGGCAAGACTTATCCATGCCTTTAATTATGGATGAGGCCATTCCAGCTCTGCCCACTCCTGGATGGGGGCCGTGTAGCCACTGTGGTTGATGCACTGTTGGCCACATGACGAGGTCACTGCAGCGCACGTGGGGCTGCCCTTGCGTTGCCTGGCCGGGGCACTACAGCCGTGGCACAATGCAGCGGGAAGGTGGTCCAGCTCAGGGGGGCACACAGGCCCGTTCGCTTTACGCCCCTGCTGGAAGAACTGCACTGGCTGCTCCTGAGCTACCTAGCATGACCAACCAGAATCCACGGCACAGCTGCTTTTTTGGCCGACTGAATGCTCCGGCAAGAAAGAAGATGGACGACCTGGTGGGAAAGCATGGTAGGGCTACACATTGTGGATGGAGATGTCTGAACCCCTGTGAAGATCTATGAATGAGCCAGTGTGGTTTCCAAGTAAGGGTCTTATCTGGAAGCACCCCAAATGTGTCATTCTGGGTAAGCTTGAGGCTGGGCTAAAACGTTACGTGGTGCTTGCTGTGGGGTCCCTTCCTTTTTCAACCTGCAACAAAGGGACTAATTTTGCCTGAGGATTTATTTTCCGCTATTCTTTGCTTCGATTGTGTTACTCAGGCTATACTTGGTTCTTCTACTGCCTCCTGCTGGCACGAGTGTGGATTTGCTCCTAACTGTCTTTGAATCACTTGTCCTATTGGCTGCTGGAGTGGAAGCTGCTGCTGCTTTTTGCTAAAATGCATGTGATCCTCTTATGCAATGAGTTAGAATGTAGGCTTTTAGCTGAACAGTTTCTTTTTTCTTATGTTTCAAGTTTAGAATTGTACAGCTTTATTGTAACTTTCCTATTCCTTTGTCATTTTGCCTGGTTGTGTTTTAGTGCTATGGTATTCAATTTTGAATGGTGATGATTATTTAAATTTGGATCACAAGGCAGCATTCACTACATAACAAATATAATGAATTAATTCAATTCAAAATAATTTAAAGTGTGTGTGTGAGAATGTGTGTGTGCATGTGTGTTCAGAAATAATCAAATATTAAATGCTTTAACAAAAGAAAATGCTTTAACAAAATGGAAACAAAGTTGTGTCAATCAGAGCTCCTTTCGGAGGGAATTGCAGAGTTGGGCACCAGCACAGAGAAGGCTCTTTGTGGATACATAATTTATAACTCGCTGATGGTCTGAAGATGCATAGCCTGGATAATATGGAATTGGGTGGTTGTTTAGATATCTGGATCCCATGCCATTTGATGTTAGCCATTAGGGGTTTTCTTTTGGGAGAAATAGTGGAATGCAAATGAAACTTGATGGCATTCTCTGTCATCAGAGGCTGATTCAAACCACAATTTGGGCCCTTATCTACTCAACTAAACAGTCACTGTGACAACCTCTGAATGTATGTTACTATCCCTCAGGCCAATCACCTCCTGGAAAGCCTACAATAATAAGTTGCCAGTCCTCAGGAAATGAAGCATTTACTTGCCGATGGAAACCTGGTTCAGATGGGAGGCTTCCGACAAATTACACTCTACTGTACAACACAGAAGGGTAAGAAAATACGGGGCAAAATTGTGCTCATCCTCACAGGTTCAAAAGAGGAAGATGTGGCCCAGGCTTCCTAACAAACATACAGAAAATGAGCCTCCAACCAATAGAATTAGCCAACCACAGCCGAAGGCTTGTTTAAAGAGTCTTCAATTGCAAGAGGAACACAGAGGAATAGAAAATTACCAAAAAAGAGTTCCACGTATGAGAATCGCCACTAAGAAGGCCACCTCACGTATCACCCCCATTGGTGCACTCAATCACAGGAAGAGCCATATTGGCTCGGATGAAGGACTTGGCAAGCCCAGCATTGTGTTCCCACAGTGGGCTACCCGATGCTTCTGTGGGAAGCCCATGAGCCACAGGTGAGAGCAGCGGGACCCTCTGTTCACATTCCCCAGCAGGTGTCTGCACTACTGAAGGTAAATGCTGGAACTATGGATGGGCTTCTCCATGAATCTGTCAGATCTCCCTTTAGAGGCAAACAGATCAGTTCAACAATGGAGGATCAGTTTAGCAAAGGCTGTGAGCTGTAATGCCTAAACTGAACCTTTGTGTTATGCAGAGGTATTTTATGTGTGAACATTTTATCCCACTTCTCTTCAGATAAAAGTTGAAAGTGAGTCACAGTCAAGAATGAAGTTTTTAAAACCATATGAAAACTGCTACACTAAGTACTCACTGCTGCGCTGTAACAAGCAGACAAGGACAATATTGTCTTTGTGTTCTGACTGTGAGCTTTCTTTGAGGTTTGATCCAGCCAGTCTCTTAAACTTTTATACAATTGATTGATTGATTGATTTCAGGCAGAACTGCTTCGGTGTTATGCATTTACATGGCAAAGTTACTATGTTTAAGTTGCCTGGTAATCAATAAAATACGTGGTGGGTTTTTCAAGCAAGTGTTTCAACAGGTCTTTTTTTAACATTTATTTCAGAGAAAGAGAGGCTCGTGAATGCCTGGACTACATATCTGCAGGTCCCAATTCCTGTTATTTTAATCAAGAATTCACTAAACGTTGGACAACATACAACATTACAGTTAAGGCTATTAATGATATGGGCAGCAATATCTCTGATCCTCAGTTTGTGGATTTAAGGTACTTAGGTAAGAGCAGAAAACCAAATGCAAATCCAACTACTCTAGAATAATACCTAAGGGAGACAGGCTGATATATCCTCATTATGATTTTCTCAAATGTGTTCTAAATCCAAGATACTGAGGAAAAAACGTTCAGAAAAACAGCAGGAATGAACAATCTAGTTCATTTAAAATCAGAACAAAAAGGGATATCAGACATTGATAATTTCCTGAGTGAGAATCATTGCTTGATGTTGGGGTCGCTTGCTTCATATGCTTAAAGTCCCAGGTCAGTTCCTGAAATCTTCAGCTAAAAACACTACTAAGTAACAGAACTGGGAAAGTCCTCAGTTAATGTTAACAAGAGAGACAACACCAGCCCAGATGAGCTATTGGTCTAGAGCCACTCTTGTGACCATCTTGTCTTTCTATTTGAGACTGTCTGTTCTCAGGTAGAATCATAAAAGAAAATATTATTGGCAAAAGAACTAAAAATATTGATTTGTGAACTTCCTTCTGTATAGTGCAGCCAGACTCTCCTACAGATCTATCCCTGAAAGTCAGACAATCGGATGGAATAAGGTACGTCTGGGCGAAATGGTCACCACCTCCGTGGGTCGATGATTCCACAGGCTGGCAAACCTGTAATTACGAATTGCGACTAAAACCAGAGGGAGGCAAAGAATGGGAGGTAAGCTAGTTGCTTACTTTTCAAACTTCCTTTTTTTCTTCAATAAGAGCTTTAAAAATATGGGGTAGACATTGCCTGAGTCACAAAGAAAGTGCTGAACTTGCTGAACCCATCACCAAAGTGGAACTTTTAAAAACTGATGTGCTGAATGTCAGCTTTCTGGAGAGCACCAGGTTCGAGAAGGCTGTGACAGATACTAATCAAGACTATACAAGTACAGTGTATCTTATACCAGACATCTTTGAATGAAAATCCTATATAAGGCGTTGCAGGAGGGTTGTAGGGGGTGCTCTAGCACTGTGGCAGACCACATGCTTCATTTGCTGAAGGTTCAGTCCCTGGCAACTCAAGGTAAAGTGTGATCAAGCAGCAGAGGTCATTCAGACTGAAACTTTAGCTGTGCTAATCAGGGTAGATCAGGAGTGCACAATTGTCCGAGGGCCACATTCCTCCCCTCAGGGACCTAGGAGTGGTTGCTAAGGCCAGTGATGTAGACTGACATTTCTGGTCTGCATCAGCAAATGGTCTGACTCAGTATAAGGAAGCACCAGATCTTCAATGAGTGGCCTTCATCACAGGGCATCTGTGATCTGGCAGGTCTTCATTGCGCTTTGAAGGATGGAGGACAAAACTGTTGATGGTTGCTAGTCGTGAGGCCAATATTATCTTTAGCATCAGAGGTGTTACGCTTCTGTGTAACAGTTGCTGCAGATCATGAGCAGCACCACACTGTCGCATTCACATCCGGCTTGTGAGCTTCCCTCAAGCATGTGTTGGGGTTAGCCGTGGGCTAAAGTTTTGTAAGCTCCCAAAGAAATGATAAGCTAGATCCAGGTTTGCTCACAAGAAGACTTTATTTGTGTACACACTATGAATTAGCTAGCATTCAAAGATTTTAGCTGCAAGTCACTTACAGCACACAGCAGGGACTTACAAGAGTTGTGATTAACATGCTTATAACAAAGAAGGATATGGAGAAAGAGCCCCCCCCCAATGTGTATGCTTTATTTATTATAATTTTAGCCCACAAATAACAACAAGGTTCTCCTTGTGTGCCTTTCATATGGAAGCTTCCACAGAAGAGCCATTTAGATTAATGAGTACCACAGGCTATGTATGTCGGGACAGCAAAGAAGAACCTTGATTAGCCCAGGAACTGTGAAAGGGGGAAGTGTAACTGTTTCTAAGAACTCCAAGTAAATAGGAATTTTCCCTGTAGGGGCAAGTATAATATCAGGGGACACTTGAGGGACTCTTAAGAAACATCATTTCATTGCAGTGGCAAAACAGATTGTTGGCTCAGTTGTGAGAAAGATGCAAACAAGCTGCCAAGCAGTCATCAGAAAATAGTGCACGCTTTTATGTTTCCTGTCTAAAATTTCCACACAGGTATCTCTTTAAGAGAGGAGGGTGGGGTGGGTCCTGGTTCTTAAAATGGGTCAGTATAGCTGATGTACCAAAAGCCAAAAAACTCCACCAGTCATGATAAGTAAATCACCTGTTTTTTTCTCAGTCAGCCTGAAACTGCAAAAAAAAATGGAGAGCAAGGTGCTAACTCAGGCCAGGAGTTCTAGCCGATGGATTGCTTGGTTGTGTGGGTGAAACATTTTCATAGACGTATTTGTTTTGTTCATTTATTTATACATATGCATACCGTGTTCTCCATTCTGAAAATTACTAGGACGGTTAAAACGACCAGGGGATAACTCCATGCCAAATGCTCTGGAGATTCTCAGCCAAGGTTCTAGAGGCATTACTTGGAAGCCATCTGTTGAAAACCAAGAATTCTCATCATGACCTATTGTTTTTTCTCCTTCCCAGGTTCATTTTGTGGGGCGTCAAACACAATATAAAATGTCTCATTTGCTCCCGGGAGTGAAATACACCGTCCAGGTTCGCTCTGTTACAGACCATTATGGAAGGAGCAAATGGAGCCTGGCATCTTCCATCCAAGTCCACAGTGGTGAGTCCACGCATCATTTCTTCCATGTTCATGATCTGAGGACCTGGTATTGGGGCCAAGCTTGTAGCAGAGCTGGGCCCAGGTTTTGGAGGGCCCTGGGTAAGACACCCATAATGGGCCCTCTCCCTCAAAGGAGTCTACTTTCGGCCTTCGTCATCAGCTGCTTTTGGTGCGGCTCCTCTTTCCCAATGTTGCTTCTTCCTCCTTCCTTGAGAAACAGAGAATCTGTGAACAAGTAAGCATCTCCTGCTGCTCCTCCTGTTGTCTGGGACAAAGTGAGGGGCAGGTGAACAAGAAGGTTGTCATGGTCAAGAGGAGGAGCATGTCCACTGGCCCTTCTGGGGTGTGGGCCCTGGCACTGGCTTTGGCTAAAAGCCAAAAGTCCTACAGCCAAATACACTGGTGCATAATGCACTGGTGTTTGTAATAAAATTCCCAGTGGCAGTTTCTTGATCAGTTTTATGAAAGGACAGTTTGGCAGAGAAGAAGCAAGAAGAGGTAAGAAACTACCACTCCGCTGCCTTTCCCCAACCTTCCAACTTTCCTTTACCTACCTGGTGCTGTCAGAAAATCCAGATGTGTGTTTACCTCGTTAAGGGCAGTTGAAGGTCAATAATAATTGTATAGTGAGGCATACCTCTCTTGGCACCGTCACTTGGCGCCAGGCAAACCTCTCTGGGGAGCGCATTCCACAATCTGGGCACCACCACAGAGAAGGCCCTCCTCTGACTAGATGTCCTTTTTACCTCCTTCAGGGAAGTTTCTCAGAGCAGGGCCTCTCCCGTGGATCTTAAGGGGCATGAGGGCGTATAAGAAAGGAGGTGCTCCTCCAGGTATCCCAGTCCCAAGCTGTTCAGGGCTTCATAGGTCAAAACCAGCACCTTGAATTGGGCCCAGACTTCAACTGGAAGCCAGCTAATTGTAGAGCAGCCCTAAGCAGCAGGTTACACTAGCCAAGGATGAAGATGATGGTGGCTTTATGAGGCTTCCTGTTCTTGTTGATATTGTTACATTGCATATAAATTCCGCCTATTTTCTGAGGAACTTAAGGTGACTTACATAACTCCATTTTATCCTCGCAAAAAAATCCTGTGGTTGAGACGGAGTGACAGGCCCAAAGTCACCCTGTGAGCTTCATGGCAAAGTGGGGACTAGAACCCGCACCTCCCAGACCCCCAGTCCAATACTCTCATCACCACGCTGCACTGGCCCCTTTCGGCAGGGCAGATGATTTTTTGGAATTCCCCACCCTCACTGAAACGGGAACAGTAGTATCTGCTGTTGCATATATAGTCTTTACTAAATAAGAAATGGAAAGAAAATAATATGGTTTTTTTGAGAGTCTCAGGAAGACAAATTCTCTAGCCTTCTAATCTTTTTTTCTGTAGTCCTACAGCCTTTGTAGTGTGGGAATTGACCTTGGCCACAGTCTGATCATTTCTGCTCCTGATCGTGGTATCCCGGGCTCCACATGGAAATACAGCCATTCTTAGTGATTCATAAAATCTAGTTTCCCTAAGAGCAGTAGCATAATGCGGAGAGGGGCAGTGAGGTAGAGGGGCCATGGCAACACTGACCAGCTTTACACTTTCCCAACTGAGAGAGGAAGGGATGAGGAGTTGTACATGCATGCTGCGGCGTCCTTCAAGGCCTTGGCACTTGTGCCAATAGACTGTGGCTCCAGAGCTTCACTGACACCTGGTACAACCTCATCCAGTCATCTTCAGTTCCCTCATTATGTCTGCTGGGGGGAAGCCAGTATGAAGCTTCTGGGCTGAGAACCAAACTTCCAGTCATGGGGATTAGGGACAGATGACTTACAATTTAGTGTGCCATTTTTATTCCGCTCTTCGCCAAGATGCTCCGATCTGCATAAATGGCTCTTCTCTTTCCACCTGCCTCTGTTTTATTCTGACAAAAGCCCTGAGGTGGATTAGGTTGAGAGAATCCAAGGCCACCTAGCAAGTCTCCTGACTAAGCACAGATTTGAACATGAGACTAGCCCCACTCCTAGTCTGACAAGTCTAACTATTACTCTATACTGGCTAAGTCGACTTATCTTTTTGTGTTCAGGCCAGCCTCCAGGAAAGCCAACGATAATAAAATGTCGCTCTCCTGAAAAAGAAACTTTTGCTTGCTGGTGGAAGCCCGGTTCTGATGGACGTCTCCCTTGCAATTATACTCTGCTGTATAACAAGGAAGGGTAAGGAGTTACCAGTGATGCCACGGCTCAGCTATGGTGTCATCGTGCATCACAGCTTCTTCTGCAGGGTTGATTTAATATTTTCTGAGCAATGGGACTAACTATAGTGTGTTTTACTTGTATTTCCTTTTGTATTTGTATTTTTCAGAGAACAAAAGTACCTGGAGTGCCCAGATTACACAACTGCAGGATCTAACTCCTGTTATTTTGATAAAAAGCATACAAAACTTTGGATAACATATAATATTACTGTGAAGGCAACTAATGAGATGGGTAGTAGCGTCTCTGACCCTCATTATGTGGATGTGGCAAATATAGGTACGCAAAGCAAATGTTGCAAAACAGAATAACCTAACGTTCTTACGGGTTCTGGTCCACAGTTCTGAGTGCCTCTTATGTAGCATCAGCCACCAGCCATGTATAATGGCGATCATGGGTCTTGATGTATCATATATTCTTGCTACTTACCTGAGACTGCAAGAGAGGTGAGTGGGTTTGACAAGTATTTGGTATGCCAGAAAGTGTGGCACACAGTCCTGGAATAGGATTTATACATGCCTTGTCATGCACATGACTACCTTAGCAATCCACTATGGATTGACCCCCAAAGTCCACTGCTACTCTGCAGAACCTGGTTTGACGTTGTTGTTGTTGTTAGTCGCGAAGTCGTGTCCGACCCATCGCGACCCCATGGACAACATTCCTCCAGGCCTTCCTGTCCTCCACCATCCCCCGGAGTCCACTTAAGCTCACACTGACTGCTTCAGTGACTCCATCCAGGAGCCTCATCCTCTGCCGTCCCCTTCTTCTTTTGCCATCAATCATTCCCAGCATTAGGCTCTTCTCCAGGGAGTCCTTCCTTCTCATTAGGTGGCCAAAGTATTTGAGTTTCATCTTCAGGATCTGGCTTTCTAAAGAGCAGTCAGGATTGATCTCCTATAGGACTGACTGGTTTGATCGCCTTGCAGTCCAAAGGACCCACAGGAGTCTCCTCCAGCACCACAATTCAAAGGCCTCAATTGTTTGGCACTCAGCCTTCCTTATAGTCCAAATCTCACAGCCATACGTTGAAACTGGGAAAACCATAGCCTTGACGATACACACTTTTCTTGGCAGGGAGGTTTCTCTGCTTTTTAGTATGCTGTCTAGATTTGCCATAGCTTTCCTTCCAAGGAGCAAGCATCTTTTAATTTCTTAGCTTCAGTCCCCATCTGCGGTGATCTTGGAGCCCAGGAAAATAAAATCTGTCACTACCTCCATTTCTTCCCCATCTATTTGCCAGGAAGTGAGAAGACTGGATGCCATGAACTTGGTTTTCTTAATATTGAGTTTCAAGCCAACTTTTGCACTCTCCTCCTTCACCTGTATCAAGAGACTCTTTAGTTCCTCTTCACTTTCTGCCATTAGAGTGGTATCATCTGCATATCTGAGGTTGTTGATATTTCCCCCGGCAATCTTAATTCCAGCTTGTGATTCATCTTGCCCCACTTTCCTCATGATGTGCTCTGCATATAAGTTAAATAGGCAGGGCGACAGTATACAGCCTTGCCGAACTCCTTTCTCAATTTTGAACAAATCAGTGGTTCCGTGTCTAGTTTTCACTGTTGCTTCTTGACCCGCATATAGATTTCTGAAGAGACAAATAAGATGGTCTGGTACTCCCATCTCTTTAAGAACTTGCCACAATTTGTTGTGATCTACACCATCAAAGGCTTTAGCATAGTCAATGAAGCAGAAGTAGATGCTTTTCTGGAACTCCCTAGCTTTCTCCATGATCCAGCGTATGTTGGCAATTTGATCTCTAGTTCCTCTGCCTCTTTGAAATCCTGCTTGTACTTCTGGTAGTTCTCGGTCCACATACTGCTGGAGCCTAGCTTGTAGGAATTTGAGCATAACTTTGCTAGCATGTGAAATGAGTGCAATGGTGCGATAGTTTGAACATTCTTTGGCATTGCCCTTCTTTGGGATAGGAATGCAAACTGACCTGCAGCCACTGCTGAGTTTTCCAAATTTGCTGGCATATTGAGTGTAGCACTTTTACTGCATCGTCTTTGAAGATTTTGAATAGCTCAGCTAGAATAATGTCAGCTCCACTAGCTTTGTTGTTGCTTAGACTTCCTAAGGTCCATTTGACTTCACATTCCAGGATGTCTGGCTCGAAGTCAGTGACCACCCCATCGTGGTTATCAGGGATGTTAAGCTCTTTCTTGTATAGTTCCTCTGTGTAATCTTGCCACCTCTTCTTAATTTCTTCTGCCTCTGTTAGGTCCCTGCCATTTTGGTCCTTTATCATGCCCATCTTTGCATGAAACGTTCCCGTCATATCTCCAATTTTCTTGAAGAGATCTCTGGTCCTCCCTGTTCTATTGTTTTCTTCTATTTCTTTGCACTGTCCATTTAAGAAGGACTTCTTATCTCTTCTAGCTATTCTCTGGAATTCTGCATTCAATTGGATGTATCTTTCTTTTTCTCCCTTGCCTTTCACTTCCCTTTTTTCCTCAGCCATTTTTAAAGCTTCCTCAGACAGCCATTTTGCTTTCTTGCATTTCTTTTCATTTGAGATGGTTTTAGTTGCTACCTCTTGTACAATGTTGCGAACCTCTGTCCATAGTTCTTCAGGCACTCTGTCTATCAGATCTAATTCCTTAAATCTATTTGTCACCTCTACTGTATATTCATCAGGTATGACCTAAATCATATCCCTGATGAATATACAGTAGAGGTGAC